AAGAAGAAGATACAGCAGACAAATGGACTTCCTCATCCTGAGAACTGTGATTGACTTTACCTGAGCTAACAAGACAAACAGCATGTTTTATAATTATTGCTTCCATGCTTTGTATACCCTGTTCCTTAGAGTAAATCTTTTACTGCCCCTCACCCATTTACTTGCATGTATCACATTTTCAATAAAAAGGCACGATGATTCCTAGCAGTTGTCACTCCTCAGAGAGCGATCTCTGGGAGTGTCCGGCTGAGGACGTGCATGAAAAGGCATGAGGCCTTAGTCTTCCTTTCTTTCCAGCGCCGCCTCCGTCGAGATAACCCACCCACGCCGAGGCTGGACCCCGGCAGTGGAGAGAAAAAGCGTTCGCCATTTTGCGGCTTTCCTGGGACTGATGCTAACGCCGTGAGACAGCTGGGTGCAGGCCTCTCGGGGAGAGCGTGGCTAGCTGGGGGCCTGCCGCAGGAAGAAGCCAGGGATGGCTCCCAAGGCTAGGACTCGAGCTTCCATCACAACCAGCAGGTGGGGACCAGAGAAGGGGGACACAAGCCTGTCCACGTCCTACCCGTGGCTCCAGGCCATGAATGGCCCTGAGATGGGACAAGCCATCACTCCAAACTTCGATCATCCTCTGGCCTCCATCCCGAGATGGCACAGAGGTGCTGCCTCGAACCTCACGCCGACACCGTGCGTGGCCCCTGCCTGGTCACCTGGGACGGGTCCAGAGGATCGAGGTCTGCTACAGCTTGATTGTGTCCCCCAAATTCACAAACTGAAATCTGGTGCGCCCCTGAGACTGAACGGAAGAAGCTTAATCCAGCCACGGAACCACAAGGTGAGGCCCCGTGATCGGACACTCGCAGGCGTTTGGGGAAACAGACGCAGGCTCCAGTCTGCTCCAGCTCTCTGGTATGACACCCCAGGCCACCCCGGACTCCACCCCGGACCCCACCAGGCCTGCCCCCGGGCCTTGGACCTCCGGAACCACGAGCCACGTCAACCTCTGTCCCTCTGGACCGCCGAGGCTCAGGTGGTTCTGCCGCTCCCAACACAGTGGACCAGGACAGGTCTCGTGTTCCAGATGGCCCAGGCCGAGCGGCAGAGGCAGCTCCGTTCGGGCCGCACCCACCGCGCCTACTGCGCCCACCCCGCCTGCTCCACCCGGCCCTACCCTGGGCGGTCAGCGCGTGGATGTAGTCATTGCCCAGCCAGAACTCGCCCAGCTGGCTGCCGAAGCCCTTCTTGTAAGCGGCCCAGTCCCGATAGAAGTCCACAGAGCCGTCCACCCTCCGCTGGAAAACCTGCAGAGCACGAGGGCCATGGAGCCGGAGCCGGAGCAGGTGCTGCACACAGCCTGCTGACTCGCTCACAGAGCATCGTGGGCCGTGGGCCACAGGCCACAACACACATTGTCACGGCAGACAGAGGCCCAGGAAATGGAGGCAGTGAGGCACTGAGGCCTGGGATGCGACAGGGTCTCCCTCTGTCTCTGTCTCTCCCTGTCTCTCTTTCTCTCTCCCTCCTTCTTCTCTTCCCGCCCTCTGCCCCTATCTCTCTCTCTCCATCTGTGTCTCTTCTTCCTTTGCTGCTTTATAAACTGAGCCCGGACCCTTTGGGCAAGAAGCCCAAGGCCACACAGTAAGGGTTGCAGGTCCCCACGGGGCCTCACCCCAGGGCCCAAACTGTTACCCTGGGTGACCTCTCCCATTGTTTCTGCTTTCCCATTCTCGGTGACAGGAAGGGGCACTCTGACCTACAGCGGGACTGGGGACCCCACTGGGCCTGGCTGGGCCCCTGGGCTGCCCTATGCTGGTACTCTCAGTCCACCCCCCGCCATCTGTGTCCAAGTCACACAGCACAGGCAGGGGCCGGCAGTCGGGCAGGTAGATGGTGTGTCAGCCGGTCAGGAAGTGGCCCCGGGTGACCAATTCCTTGCAGGACCGAGGGCCTGGAACGGAACCCAGGAACCATGCAAATGGGGGCTGGGCCAGTGGGCAGTCGGGGCCCCAGGGAAAGTGAGCCTCGGCAAGGCAGAGGAGGATTCCCCGGCTTGGACCCAGGGCCCCCATGGTGACGGCCAGGCCCCATCTGCCCAGAACCCCCTCCCGGGCAGAGAGGCCGCAGAGGGATGTGCGTGTGTCCAGGCCACAGCTACCAGTGACTGTGCGGTCGGCCTAGTGCGTGCAGTTTGTCCTCAGAGGGCAGCGTGTGCCCGGGGCAGGGCACGTGTGTCGAAGGCTGTGGCATGGTCACCTGTGGTACATGACTGCAGCTGCCCGTCTCCTGCGGGGAATGGAGGCCCCTGTCATAAAAGTGAGCTCAGCCCTGTTCCCTCAGCTGCAGTTAGCATGAGTGACCACCCTGCTGTCTCCAAGCACCCACTGGGGCGCCGAGCCAGGCCTCATCGGTGGAGCCCGCTGTGTCTAGGTTTCCCTGCGGCTGGCAGTAAGCTCCAGCACAGAGCAGGGACCTCAGAGGGAGGACGGCCTCCTCTGCATCCTCACGGTCACTCTACACGCAGGGCGGTGTCCGGGTCTCTGCACTGTCCCCCACGGGGTCATGGTGACAGCCCCGGGGGCAGAGGGAGGCTGGTCTGTGGCCAAGACAGGGCATTTGATTGTTTGAGAGAGCCCTAAGTTTCGCTTTTTCTGAGTTTTGCAGGGTTTTAAGTAAGCGAGCAAGAGCTAGCCCAAGTTTCCATAAGATGCCATGTCTACACAGTGCAGCGAGGGTGCCGATGAAGGGGCTGGGTCCGAGGTCCTGCGGGAGATGCTGGGCCTGACAGGGCGGTCAGGGCCCCTGCTGGGCAGAGCATCCCTGGGACACAGCTGGCTCACCTTTCTCTCCACGTGTCCCCTTCTCCCCGCAGTCTCCTGGGGGAGAGACAGAAGGTGCTGTTGTCAAAACCCCTGCCAGGCCCCGTGTCGGCCCTGGTTTAGGGTGGGGAAGCCCCAGAGGCAAGGTCTCCAGCCCTGCCGGGCGCTGTGCCCTCTGCCCTGCTGCTCCGAAGGTCTCAATGCAGGGGGTGAGGCACTGAGGCCTGGGACGAGATAAGGTCGCCCTCTGTCTCTGTCTCTCCCTCTCTCTTTCTCTCTGGTGTCCCCCTCCCTCCATCTCCTCTTCCCGCCCTCTGCCCCATCTCTCTCTCTCCATCTGTTCTCGTCTTCCTTTGTTGCTTTGTGAACAGAGCCCAGGCCCCTCAGCCCTCTCCCCTCTTCGCCTTGTTACCTTTGGGTCCCAGTGGTCCTGCCTTCCCGGGGACTCCGGGAAGACCTCGCTCTCCTGCAAATTCAAACACAGGCCTTGAGGCAAAGGTAGGCTCAACAATCCGACTTGAAAACCTTTGCCCCATGCTCCGAAATCCTGGCCCCTCTTATTCTGGCCAGGTCCTCGGATTGCTGGTGTGCTCCGCACACCAGTGACATGGGTGGTGGCCGTGACACAGGTGGTGGTGGTGACATGGGTGGTGGCACGGTTCCCCACCGCTGGCCCCACCTGCCACACTTGGGCTGGGCCTTGGGCAGGGCACTCCCTGGGCACCAGTCTCTTTCTGGGTAGGACCTGGCTCCAGCCTTTGACCGTGGGCCTGGACCTGGGTCTCTAGGAGCTGCACTGTCTGGCTCTTGTCCTGGGAACACCCTCCCCGGTGCCCGCACAGAGAACATGCCCCTAGTACAGTGGCTCCTGTGAGCGGCGACCGGGCCCTGCGCTGTGCAATGGAGGTGCAGGTGCAGTGGACCAGGTGCAGTGGAGGTTGGGGTATAATCGCTATCTTGAGGACTGGCTCCTGCTTTAGGGCAGATCAGCCACGACCCCTAGTGGCGGAAACCCAGTCCAGGGAGTCGGACCCTGCCTGGAGTCTCTTCCTGCTGTGGAAGGAGCCTCTCCTTGGGGGCTTGGCTGGGTGTAGGGCACAGAACCTGTCCTGGCCATTGAGTGACAGATGCGCAAAGGACCCCACATGGCTGCCTGGATGCTCGTAGACTGCCTGTCGTAGGGACAGTCTGCTGGCCCTGCGTCCACTGGGATGTCCCCACCAAGTGCTCCACGGCGTCACCGCGAACACATCCAGGCCTGTGGCCACCCCTAAGGCAGCCCGATGTCGACATCAGAGCACATCTGCCTTCCACCAGGTGAGGGGACCCCAGATCACCCCAGGCGTGCAGGAGGTCACCACAGAGCCTGGGTCGCAGCCCAGACACAGGGACAGGTGGCCCTGCAGCAGGCCAGGCTGGAACCCCAGCTCCACTGCCCCCTGCCGTGCGATCTCGGAGAGCTGCCGACCCTTCGAGCCTCAGTTTCTTTATCTGCTGTGACTTTGGGTGAGAATACAGAGGAGTGTGGAAGTAGAGGGGGCCCCACGGCCAAGGACAGCAACTGTGGGGTGGAGGCCCAGGAGGCGGACCGACAGACACCTTCCCAGAGCACTCACAGCATGACGAAGGCGGGCGCTCCTGAGCCGTTCCTGAGCCCCCGGGCATCTGCATCCGGGTCTGAGCTGGCCCAGGACAAAGGCACAGAAACGGTCCCCAAGAGAAGGTGGCAGGAGTGGGGAGCAGCCTAGGAGCCCCTCGGGGGTTGCTGCCTCTTGGGCTGAGGGCGTAGTTGGGCTCCCCCCATGCTGGCTACTCAAGTGGGTGGGTCCGGTGGCCAGGCAGACCAGGGGGCTGAGCAAAGGCCCCGGGGGCCTGGCCTCAGGGACTCCACGACAACCCAGACTGCACTCCTGTGTGGCGACATGGGCCTATCGGGAGAGGGAGCCAGTGACTCCCACTGCCCCAGACGCCATTGGCGGCCCTGTGCCTCTGGTGGCAGGACAGGCCTGGGGTTCAGAGGAGCGACTGGAGACATGGCTCAGCGGGGTCAATGGGGACAGTGAGAGGCAGCGGGCCTTGCCCTCAGCCCCACCGGCACAGCCTGGGTGCCGGCTGCTGCTCCTGCTCTGCCCCGTCCGGAGGGCTGTGCCAGGTGCTGGTGCACCCATGGGCGCGGGGGCCCAGGGGGTGAGAGGGTGCCAGGCCTGTCAAGTCCAGAGAGCTTGAAGTTTGATCAAGGGAGGTGTGACTTGTGGCAATGGCAGTTTAGGGCCTCGGGCCCTCTGTCATGTGAGGGACACACAGACAGAACAATAGAAGAGTTCCACGAAGGCCTCGTCCGGCGCGCCGCGGAGTGAAGGGCGAGGTCACCACGCTCGAGAGCGACAGAGACCTCAGAGAAGGGAAACCAGCACAAAGGCTTGTTGTGCTGTGGGGCGGGCCAGCCCCCGATGGCAGCGGGAAGCTGGGCGGTCATGCTGACGATCTTATGGACTGCAGGTCAAGAGTTGGAGTCTGGGGCCTGCCGAGGGCATGGCTTTGGGAGTGGGGTTCAGAAGTGTCACCCCTGGGAACAATGATGAGCTAACCGCACAGTCTGCCCTCGCGTGGATTGCAAACTAGTTTCGAGACTCTAAATATCTCAGGGAAAAGAGATCTCACTCCTGAAATTACAGTAAGGTCTTTCTAAATTGTGGGTGCCTCAGGCTCCTAGCTAACACCCCCAAAAAACTTTTCCAAAGGCATTGCATCTTGTTAGGCCTTATGTAATTATTTCTGGAAATTTTTTTCCCAAAGTAATCATTAGACCACAGAGCTAGCAGCGGTTGCGAGAGCCAAAGAGGGCACGCACGCGGACCGGAGGGGCAGGGCGGACAGACGGAGGGCGGACAGACGCAGGCCTGACGCCGCAGGCACTGAGCCAGACGGGCAGAGGAGGTGTCGCCGCCCAGTACAGCAGGCCAGAGAACACCACCAGAAGGGTGGGAAAGGTGGATGCAAAGTCGCTTTCAGGACGGAGAGAACCGGAGAAGCGAGTGTGGAGATTCCAAGGAACTTAAAGAGAAACTGCAGACGCTGTGCCGGACAGCAGCAGCGTTTCTCAAAACTGGCCACAAAGACTTCGAAAATGAAAATGAAAAAGCTTGTCGTAGCTGGGCCAGCGGTGGCATGGCGGCTGAGAGGCCGCACTCCCACCTGGCTGACCGCCATCTGAGTCCCGGACAAGGCGGCTTGCTCTCTCACTTTCCCTCTCACTGTCTCTGGCGAGCGCATGTGCCTGCCAGCAAATTTTAAAATTATGCTAATAATAAACAAAACTGAATACATTACTTAAAAACCTTGCAGTAGCAGCCCCACAGTAAGTAGTGGAATGTCTGACATCTGTCCTCGTCTCCCCCACAACGTGACTCTCCCCTAAGTGGCCTGAAGAGTCACTGCGTTGGAACGAAGCCGCTGGTGGTGAGTTGACCTAAACGGCAAAAGGCCTGCGACAAGGATCCAGCAGGGTGGGGCAGGACGGCGGTCCTCCCTGACGCCGTAACTGTCCTAACCACAGCAGTGGGGACAGCGTGGCACCGCCTCAGGGCACACGGGCCCCTGGCACCCAGCGGGCTCCGAGAGCAATCCCGGGCTCCGCAGCAGCGGCGGCTCCATGGAGAAACGAGGAAAGAACGAACTCTCAAAAAATGGGGCAGACTACTGCGCGCTCAGACGGAAAAGCAAGACATGAAATTCTTTCTTTTTTGTTTCATCAAACAAAAGAAAAATCAATGTCGGGAGAATCGCAGACCTGATGTGGAAGGAGAGCAGCAGGTTTGCATCGTGGTACGAGGCATCGGACCCCGCGGAGGCATTCTATACAGAGCAGAAAAATCACCAACGATCAAGGGAAGTCTAAAAATTGACATTCAAGTTAAGGACCTTTCTTTTTCAAAGCGCACCGTGAAGGGAGCGGAGCCACCGAGGGAGGGAGACATTCAACACACTGACAGAGGGCTCGCGTCCAGAGTGAGTCAGTGATCCTGGGGACACTCAGGGAAGAATGAGTCCTCCCAGCTGCTCAAGCCCGCCCAGGAGCTGGGACACGCATGGAAGTCGCAGAGATACCGAGAGCTCAGCCGGCGGTGGGCTGTGTTAGTGCGCCCTGCCTGCGAGGTCTGGTGAGGGTGTG